ATGAAGCTACTATCACCATCCTTAAAAGCTGCTAAAGTATTCTTAGATTTAAAAGCCTCACCTTTAAGCCTCCAAACTGTTGTCACTGTGGCCCGATAGTTTAATCTTTGTCTCATTTGACTCTAAAACCTTTGTCCAAAAGTTGGTCTGCACAGCCATGAAGGCAGCTGCAAATTTCAGTCATGCTTGAATGTGCTGATTTTGGAGCAGAGGCTTTATTGGTCATCCCAGTTCAGTTTGTGGTGATTCCCCAGCAACTCATTCACAAACTGGATCTGATGGGGATCAGCACCTCACTGTGTAACTGGCTGCTGGATTTCCTGACAGGAAGAAAGCAGACAGTACGGGTTGGCAGCAACACCTCCAGCACAAGAACACTGAATACAGCGGCTCCCCAAGGATGTGTGTTGAGCCCCCTTCTCTTCACTCTGCTGATGCACGACTGCACACCATCACACAGCTTCAGCCTTTTCATAAAGTTTGCAGACAACTGTGGGAGGTCACATCAGCAACAACGATGAGACCTACTACAGGAGTGAAGTTAAACATCTGGCCGAGTGGTGCAGCAACAACACCTTGTACCTGAATGTGGAGAAGACTAAGAAGATCATCATGGACTTTAGGAGACCCTGCACGCCCCACTAACCATCAATGGTGCTGCTGTGGAGAGGGTAAGCAGCACCAAGTTCCTGGGTGTGCACATCTCAGAAGATCTCTCCTGGTCAAAACAAAAAAACCAAAACGCTGCATCACTGGTCAGCAAAGCCCAACAGTGACTCTACTTTCCCTGCAAACTGAGGAGAGCAAGAGCCTCAACCCCCATTATGAGCACCTTCTACAGAGGCACCATTGAAAGTATCCTCACCAGCTGCATCACTGTGCGGTATGGCTCCTGCACTGGGTCCTGCCGAAAAAAGTTACAACAGTAGTGAGAGCAACGGAGAGGATCGTGGGTACTTCTCTTTCCTCCCTCCAGGACATCTACTGCACCCGCCTCTGCATTACAGGGGATTCCACTCATCCGTCCAACAGCTTCTTCAGTTTGCTGCCATCAGGAAGGAGACTGAAGAGCCTCCAGGCTAGAACCACCTAGCAGACTGAGAGACAGCTTCGTCCATCAGGCTGTCAGGATGCTGAATTCACTCCATGCTCTCACACACACGAATTTCAGACCTGCATTCACTTCTTCCCTCTGAACCCTCAACCACCCCAAAAATACAAATTCCGACCCACCACCATTCAACTGGACTTTCCCATTGTTCTGAGAATTGGTCAATCCAATGAGTGCTGTCAAACAAATCCTTTTTATGCTGCCAATGAAAAATAACCAGATGTATGCAATCATGATCAACTAATCAACTAATGAGTAATTAATCAGTTTGGGCCTTGTGAAGCTAAAAGACATCATAGAGTCTTCAGCATCATTATTAAAAGATTTTGGCGAGTTCAAACATGTGTATCCAATTCTTGCTTCTTAAAGTCATTAAACATGTAAGCTGTAAAATCATTAATTTAAGACCACATCTCTGTAATTCTTTCTTCACATTTAAATGTTAAAAAACACAACTTTAAAAAGTTAACTGTTAACAGTTTGGATTTTTTTCACTTCTTTGCAGTTTTTACCGTGGAAATTGTGTAGAAATTAAAAATAATCTCTGTTTGTTTGGGGGGGTTTTTTTACATAAAGTACAAAGAGACGGATGCGGAACACGTTAGTTTTGTCTTCCTTCGGTTAAAAGACCCTATTCGTATGAGTAATGATGAGTCATGATGAGTCATGATTTGTAGAAACAAGATTTGTTGAAGACCTGGAGAAAATAGGTCACATAGCAGAAAGAGGTAGCTTTGCTTTCTATCTACACATTGTAGTGTAGTATATTGTATTAAAAAAAAACACTACACTGATACAGTTGAGCTAAGCTATATTTTTCTCATACAAGCAGCCAAAGCACATTAAAGCATCTTATTCACTGCAGAAACAACACTAGTGCTAGTGCCTGCTGCAATTTCAGCAAGTCTTTCATCACATAGGGCTTCCACGTGTTACAGTATATTCCTCTGCAATCCCATTTCTTGCCTTGTAATTATACAAGTTTTTATTACAAGGTAGGCCTATTAAATGTTATTGAGGAGAATTTCTCTTGCACATAATACACAAACATAATTTTCGAGGAAAAATGAAAAATACAGGCAAAGACTTCAAGAATAGCAGGTAATTGAAAAGCAATGTGCTAAAATACTCCAGATGGTTTTTAGTCCATCCAGCGAACAAGATGTGGAAACCCAGACCCAACTGTAAACGTGCAGAATTGCAGGGATCACATTACCGTAAATATTCTAAAAGAGTTGATTGTAATTGGATTCCTTGGGGAAGAAAATGTCTTCATTCCCTTTTCCTTCATATATATATATATATACATACATACATACATACATACATACATATAGCATTGACAAATGTTTCCTTCATGGGGAGCTTCCAGTGAATTGTGAATTGTGAATGCAGGTGCTACTGTTGCTGTCCTTTGAACTGAAGTGCAGTTGTCGATGACGTATCTTGGTGCTCTTATTTTGAGACAGTTGTATAACACAACTATTTAGTATGTTCAGTATGTGTGTTTAGTTCTTTAGTGTAACATTACCCTGTTACTTTGGATGAGGTGACCTTTGTATTTACAGCTAGTCAAAAGTTCACATACTGTACACTTCCACAGTACGGGCATGAATGTCATGGCAATTTGGGACTTTTAATGATTTCTCAGTTCTGTTGCTGGAACACCAGTGAAGGAACCTTTACATCAACCAAGAAAGAAGCTCCTGTTCCAAGCTCGACTGACGTTTGCATCTACCCACGTGGACAAGCCAAATAAAGTTTTATTATAAGATGAGATAAAGATTGAGCACAGTTGGATACTCCAACAAGATAATGATCCAAAACACACATCAAAGGTAGTTTTTGAATGGATAGAGCAGGCAAACATTAAGCTTCCAGAATAGCCTTCCCAATGTCTTGATGTCAACCCTATTGAAAACATATGGACCATACTTAAAAGCTGGATCAGTGCCTGGAAACAAATTCAGATGAACTCTAGCAATTCTGCTAAGGTGAGCAGTCAAATATCCAGCCGGAATTATGCCAGAAGCTTGTTGATGGCTACCAAAAGTAGTGAGGTGTAATTTACAAAAGGTCATTTTACCACATATTAGTTGGCGTGTATGTATATATCTAAGCCAGTATGTATATTTTTAACCCTGAATTATTGTGACAAATGACCTGGATAATCTAGCCATAAAAATGCACTTTACTGCAGTAAAATAAAATTAACAAGACAATCTTACATCTTCCAGTTCATTAACAATAACCAGTCTAATTGTGCTTTTGTAGTTTCATCCACTAACAAACTACTTAACCCCTCCAAAACCATACCCTCTAAATTTCTCATCAATGTTATCAATAACCTAAAGATCAGTAGTGACACACAAAGAATTTTAGCTTTTCTGGATCTCACTCCTGAATTCAACACTGTTTATCCTGACATTTTAATTCAAAGGCTGCATGGCACAGTTGGTTTAATAGAACAGGTTCTTGATTGGCTTTCATTTTATCTAAAGGGTGGAAATTTTTATGTTTCAAATGGCAATTTACAACTTGAACAACTCAAAATTTAACTAGGGGCTCAAGGGTATGTCCTTATTCCATTGCTGTTTAACCTTTACATGCTCCTATTTAGTACTGCCATAAAGAATAACAATATGTCCTACCAATCTTATGCAGATGACACACAGTTGTACTTATTTTTTTCCTCTGATGAGCTATCCTCTGTTCACAAACTAATGATTTGCATTGATGACATTAACTACTGAATGCCATATTACTCGGTATCATTCTGCACAGTGATCACAGTTTTGATCATTTTTGATCATTACATCAATACGAGAATTACGAGAATTGCTTTCACTCACTTAAAAAGACATATCCATGGTTAGAAAATTTCGATCTCAAACTGACTCTGAGAAACTGGTCCATGCATTCACATCAAGAAGGTTAGATTATTTTAAGGCAAAATTATCCAAACCATCAACAGGATGACTTTAGCTGATTCAAAATGCAGCAGCCAAAATCATTACATATATGTGGAAAGTTGAGCACAAACCAAGCATTGAAGGCACTTCATTGGCTCCAAGTGCAATACAGAACCTTTAAAGTCATTTTAGTAGTTCATAAGCCCCCCAGGGAATCTCTGACTTGCTCACTGTTTAGAGTCCAGTCAGCCCTCAAAGGTCACCAGGTGCAAATCCTTTAGCTGTTCCTAGAATTAGATCTAAGTGTACTGAGGGTACTTTCACTTACTGGGCTCCTTTTCTCTGGAACAAGCTGCCTGCTGACCTGAGAACAATTGCATCTGTGCATTTAAAAACAAACTAAAAACCTTTTTTTTTTTTATTTAAACAGGCTCAATAAGAGTTTTTTGGTTTTATTGACTTTATTTTGCTCATATATATATCGTTGCCTTTAGCCTTTATTCTAAACCTACACAGGTTTTTATGTTCTTCTGTATTGAGCACACTGAGTTTGCGGGTAATTAAATGGACTACATAAATACAGTTGCCATTGCAAAATGTAAAATAAAACGGAGTTGTATATAATATGACATTGAAATAAAACAAAAAAAATCGTAATCATGTAAAGTTAAAAATGCGCATATATGTATATACACGCACACTATTTTTTTTTATTAAAAAATAAGACTGTGGTCTTACTTTCTAAATAAGAAGAGCCAATTCTCCACCCTACAGCTTAGAAGCCGCAGGAATGTCTCTGCGCATCTATTCAAAGGATTAAGGTGAGCCTTTCGGGAGGTTCTGTACGTGGCAGCGCTTTCCTCCCCTCTCCGTACTTTTCATAACCCCTGGGTGCCAAGTGGATTTGCGTCCACATTCTCAAACGTGACTATCCTGTTTGAAAGCCACGAGAATGAAGGTAAGCTGACATTAAATGCTGTCTCGGATTAGCTATCGCACAAAATGCTGTGTAGCATTACATCACGACTGAGTCCTTGAGCTCGCATACCTCCCGAACATGCTGGGATGGTTGTCAATCGTGGGTCCAACAGGCTTCTGTTGTTTTTTTAGTGCACCAGATTGTACAGGTTCCCAAGGTTAAAGAAAACACAACATGTTATTCAGTGAGGTTTGTGTTCATTCCCGTGCTGTTTCTGGAGGTTACATTATAATGCGAGACACAGCTGAGTAGCAAATGTTCCACAGCGGACAGGGAGAAAGTTTTGAAAGTTTGCGCGAAACTTCGTGACCGAGCATCTCACGCGTGGATGACATTCTGTGTTTTACACACACTCACACACACATACTTTGAATCGGAAAGTCTAGCTTTTTTCGGCACAGTGAATTAAAATCTCTACACAGCACGGACTACAGGACATTTACGGGACCAAAAAAAGGGAAGTGTTGGGAATTTCTAGAAACAGCCGTCCCGGGCTGACGTCACTGGGACGGCTCCTCTACTCTGGAGATGGTCTGCACACTCGGTCGCGGGGGAAGAGTGAGTTTTGCTCATCTTTACCTAATTTCTGCTCTCACACAGACACGTAAGCAGCGTAAGATTGGTCTGATGTTAGCAGTTATCGACACATATTCCAGCCTCGCGGTGACATTGTTTCTATTTCATGGACCGCAAACAAATCACCTCTAGCTCTGCAACTAACGATTATTTTGATCGCTATTGGCTGTTAATATGCCAAATAACCATGTAAAACGAATGGGATAGCAGTGGCAGTTAAAGTACTTATAGAAAATCCAAAAATATTAGTTTCATCTAATGTTAGAGTAATAAAAAAGATCAATTTACGACACTAAGGAACGTGCAGCTATCAGATATATGTGTGTCTTTGAAAATGACCGAAAAACTGTTAGTTATCAAAACTTAAATAACTTTAGTTATCCGAATAAATCATGTAAAACCGCTGAATGCTTATTATACTCACATTAGATTCGTAGAAATAGGTCACACAGGGCTGTTATATGTAATTGCAATATAAATTAACTCCCTTTAAAGGGGGTGAATTCACTGTGGCTGCCTACTGTTCACTGGGTTCAAAAGATTAGGTCTTGCATAGCTCCAAAAAAGGGCTTTGTTCTCCCTTAACAAATGGCACAGCGTCACTAAATACACTGGCCTGGTAGCGTGATGCCCTGCAGTGATTTATGCATGGTAGAATGCAAATAATTGTCTCTGGCTGTTATGGGAGTGTGTAAAAATGGAAGGTAACAAATAAATACATCTGCCAGCTGCATAAACCCAGAAGACAGGTGACTCTTACTAAATAAGCTGCAGCCACTGTCCTGATCCAACTGTTTTCAACTAAACTGAATGCTACAACTGTCTTGCTGTCAAGTAGGTAAAATCCCCAAATAAATGCAAAGATAAAAATATATTTTGTTTTATTTAATAACTTATTAAATTAGGGTGATTTGGGTTATTATTGATCTCCAGCAAACTTGCCTTAATATAAACCACAGTAGAAGTCAGTAGTTTTCCATGCTTTTCCTCTGGACAATGTTTCCATGGTCAGCAGAACATGATTGGGATCTTGGATGAGGAATGCTCTCTTTCCATATCAAAGTAGGGGATGTGTCATAAGTAGTATTTCCATTGATTTGCTGACCACACAAAACCACAAAATTGCTCCACTTTGCTGACCTCATCCTGTGACGTTTAGTGGAAGTGAAAGTCAAAGTGCGAGTGGCTATAGATGGAACTGAATGAAGGGGTTGCCCGCTTATACTAAAAGCCCTGAAGAATTGAGCAAATTGTTAGTACTTTGTCAGTAAGGATCTTAAAAAACACAAACCGTAACCAACCTAAGCTGGGTGTTAAAGAGGGAAATCTCTTTTTTTCCTGCCCACAGTGTAATTTGAACTGCACAGATTAGCAACGATCACCAGGTTGACTCTGGAATTTTTGTTCATTGCTGGAGGATAGTTCTGTGTCTTAAGGCTGATGGCCATTGATTGCCTGGGCACGTTCACCTGTTCTGGGTATGGTACGTGCAGATGCTGTATGCAGTGCACCGTGTAACATGCATGTGACGTGGTTATGTGTCTATGTCTGCGTGTGGGCGTTGAGTTTGATCCTATTTACTGATTACAACAGTCGTTAAAATATCTGTTAAACATCAACTGCTTGCTTTTCTTCTTAGTGCACCAGAGTGGAAAAAATTGGCACGTACCAGGCCTTTTTTTCTTCTTCTCTCTTTTCAGATTTTAGTTTTCTGGCATGCAACTTCCATTTTTTTGCTTATATGCAAAGATAGCTGCATTTACTCCCATCTAGGTTTATCAAAACACTGGAGTTTGGTGTTTGTGGCCAAAAATCTACTCAGAAATGAATTTCTTTTGGGCTCTTCAACTTCTTTCCTCCTCATCCATAATTCTATTTAAACTATTCTGTTATGTTTGGGTGGGCGATGTCACTGTTTTCAACATTGTGGAATATAATTTTCCAGAGGAATTGTACAGATGTCATCATTAAATAAATAACAACACGTGATCTACCTTGCGTGACCCAATTAAATGTGTGACTGATTTCAAAATTGTTGGGGTACTCATTGGATACACTTTCCATCTTGGAGTTATAACAGATTTAGCGTACCAGACTTGAAGTAGCTGTAAGTGGACAAACATTCACAACATTCACACAACAGTCAGAGTGAAAAACAGGGTGCAGAGATTAATAAGTGGCACTTTTTGCCTTTAAAGTGATCCAAACATATGGGCTTTTGGCTAGAATGTCCACCCGTGCTGTCATGGAGCATATGTCCTGCAAACATGAGCCATTCAGATTCAAGGTTAGGCTTCAGGGGAAAAACTAAACAAAATTTGGTAGAAGTATTTTGCAGCAGTGTTGAAATATTGCATCATTCAGACTGCTCCGTCCTCTTTGCACAAGCCCGAGGTCATAAATGCTTAAATTTTGTTCCCTTGTTTGTATTTCTTAGAAATGAAATGTTTATATAAACATATATTAAATAGATATTTTATCTTTGCACATTGATATGTTTAATCTTCTTCCTCTTAAAACTCAAATTTATTTTAGTGTTTTCACCAGTCGGACAGATGTTGCATAGACCAGCCATGCTTGTTGTGTTTAGTTTTTCTCAAGTATGTAAAGTCCCATAGAAGAGTAGAACAAGATGACCACAGAAGTTGAACGTTTTACTCTAAGTGCAAACATTTGCTCCTAATAGGAACCCCTGCCCCACTGCAGACCTTGCATCCTGATGTCTTTGCCAGAGACTGTGTTGCTTTGGTTCCTTATCTCACTTACAGAGCCACTCCTCCATGTAAAGCAGGAAAGTCTGAACAAACTCAACCCCAGTATGAACTGGCAGAGATACTTTTAGGCTATTATCATTGAGTTCAGGCCAGTTTTGCAAATGCTCAACATTAAAACTGATGCTCCTTAATGCAATGGCAAAATGTTGAAGATCTGCCTGCTTTCTCCTACCTACCTCGGTCTGAGATGCATGCACACAACTTTGGCCTGTGTACAAAGTGCAGCTGTGCATACCTTCCCTCTCAGGACCTCTCTGGACATCCTAGCCTGTCCTCTCCCCCTCATTTTACTTTCTAGAAAAACCCGACACCACTCGAGTAGTAAGTGTACCAGTCCTCTTTTTCAGGAATGTTGCCACCTGCAGAAACAGGCCAGACTCTGTTTGAGCTGAGCAATGATACTGGCTGTAAATTACAAGGCGAGAGAAGCAATCGTTTACTTTTTAGTTTGAGACTTTGGTGATGATTATCTAGCCAGTGTTTAAGCCAACTCAAAATGCTTAAACGTAACACACAAGAAGCTGAATTTATACTGCAAGGAATATATTTATTAATATATATAGTCTTAGTAATGCACACAAAGTTGCATTAAAAAATGTCTTAGCCTTCTTTCTGAGTTCAGCATAAAGGTTTTCAGCCAATATACATCTGTCAGCTCAGCATAAGGCTTGTGCTCTTTGTCAGTCATGTCACTCAAATGCAAATATATTTATTTTGCATACAATGCAAATTTAGTCACATTCTTTGTGAACTGATTTAAAGCTCTCATACATTCAGGAAGAGACAGTGAAAGTTGTTTTTTTTTTCTGTGTTTCAAAAACGTGTAACTTTTTCTTTTAATCCCAAAATGAACAGTGCGGCTAAATGTGTGCTGCTTCGTCTCTCCTGAATCTTGGTCCAGTCATATCATTTTTTTGATCATTTGGCTACAAAGTTACACCCTCTGTGGTACATTCCAGTGTAATAGCTGTAATTGTAAATGTTAAAAGAGAAGATGAGGAAAAATAGTTCTTTCCTATACACGTTAAGGAGATTTCACAGCCTTTCTTCAGTCGTGCCTGCTGTAGATTAGCATCGGCATGTCTGTGTCAGATGTTTACCCCATCAGAAGAATCAGGATGTCACATATGAGCCACATTCCACCTGTGTTTGCGTCACACCATCACTGGCAGACAGATATGCTGCTTACACACTGACATTTATTTCCTGTAAATTTGTTATACTTGTTCCTTTTGGACACCATGTTGCTTTCTTATTGTCACTGTAGAAAATCACTGAATTTGCCCAGAAGGTGTCAGTCAAATAGTTCTTTTCTTTCCAGGAGGTTATTAAGCTATTTCTTTACTCAAATTTATTCAAACATCAATGTGTCTGTGCTTGCAGTTAGAATTATAGATGTGTACGTTTTAAACATACTGTAGTAAACAGTCATCAGTGCGAAGTGATGTTTTAAAAACAGAAGGAAAGGAGAAAGTAGCACACAGTTGCTTTTTACAGTCTTGGACTGATGTTACTTCTACTTTTTCTGCTCAGCCCTGTAGCTGGCGCCGATACTTAATACTCATAACACTACTAATGCATTGTGGCCAAGTCTGCCATTAATAAACACTGAGGTTTTGTGCCTTATTGTGTTTTATTTAGTGTGTCAAATGCATCTAATTGAATGGAAATGTAGGTTATATTTTTAAAAGCAAGGCACGTAAGTAAGTAAATAGGTACATAAGATTATCTTCAGTGCACGAGCTCATTTCCAAAATAAATTTTCTGGTTGTCATGTTGAATTGTAGAGCAGGAGACTGAAAATGAACTTATGCCGACCTGGCGCGACCCTGATGGAAAGAGAAATGAGAAAATTACACACATAAACACATTAAAAATGTACTGTTCAGTTACAGCTGTGTCCCCTATTTTTCCCTTCTCAGTGAGAACTGGGAACAATAGACCATGACTCATTTGTAGGAAACGTGCTGGAAACTTTTGAGAATTGTTTGGCAATCTGCAAATTTAGTCTGGAAACACAGAGTCAGACTTGGTGTAACACAAACTGAAAGTTTGAAACTATTTATATATGATACGCTTACAAATTGTGTTAAACGGCTTTAAGGAGGAATACTTCAAAAAAGACACTTTTTTTCATAGAGTTTTATAGAAAACGGTGGATAAAATAAATCGTTTTATATGCTTTATAATGTTCAGCATAACTAGTTTATTTTGCGTACCACTGTGACATGATGTGATTATGGTTTTTTTTTATGTAATTGCAGGTTACTGAACAAGGCAGAATGAGCAAAGTCCTGCTTTTTGTCTCCTCGGTCCTGCTGTGTTGCTGCCGGACCACACGGGCAGAGATCTTTACATCCATTGGTAGGTTTACTGGTTGTCAGGGCAGCTAGTCCACTTATCACAGTGTCGCTGCCTCCTTCACATACTGAAGTGTCCTTGGGCCTGACTCTTAAAAATGAGTCAGGCCGATCGGTGTCCTGTGTGTGAGAGAGAGAGAGACTGGTAGAATTTGACAGACATTGCTGCTAACCTGTATTGCCTCCTTTTTGTCGTATTATAAGTCAATGGGTAATAAAATTGTGGGGAAAATCCCATCTTTTGGAAGGCATCAAAATAAAATGAATATGTTCTATAAAAGGTCAAGAGAACAAATAGAATATAACATTAGTATCTGTTCCAACAATTATCCTCAAGCAGATTTGCAAACTTTGTCAGTTCTTTAAACATTTAGTGTTAGAATCCAGAAACTCTAGAAAGCATTGGTGAGTGAGCCTTTAATCTGTCATCAGGTGTTTGGGATTACTTGGGACTCATTTACAGGACTTGCATGAATAGTCAATCATTCATTCAACTGATTAATCAAACCAAGCCCACGGGTCAAGAGCTCAGTGCTACTCTGGATTAAAAAAACAATCTTGATTGATGCCTTACCAATTACCTGTGTTGTTTTTAATCAAATCGGCCACGTTTGACCACAATAATAGGATGCTGAATTGCTCAAGAATGTACATCTGTGCTTTTCACTTTGTATTAAATGGAGGATGTGGCCAGAAGAGGACTAATAATAACTTTATAGAGAAATAGTTGTGGTACATAGATTCCTCTTTCTTTCTTTCAAATCAGTGCTCAGATATTCAACATGATTTCCGTAGAAATTAATCTCTTGAACCACTTTAAAAGGGAAAAAAAGCTTTTCTTACACAATGCCCTTGCTTTGTGCAATCACAGAGACATTGCTGGCATACAGAAAATGCTTTTTGTATACAATATGTGTCACATCGCTCAACTGGTTAGTTCTTATTGCTTGGAAAGGTATACTGATGTGCTGTTCTGTTGATTTAATGCACTTAGGTGGTCAGATATGCTGTTTGCATGCAAAAACAATGCAGACTTGTCATCCTCTGTCTTTTAAAACTTCTGTTAAGCTAAGCAATCCAATGAGGATGTTTACTAAGCACACTACACCCCATCTATCTCTTCCAAGGCTCATGGGTGGGTGCTTAACTGTAATTTTGCTGAGTAATTCTATAGTATTAAAGCCCCGCAGTTTTTGGCTGAAGAGTTATTTTCAGCCTAAGTCTGAGGGGAGTGGTGGGGAGAAAGTGTTACCAGAAATAGATTCATTTTTTTCTTTGGCTTTTAAAGCAAAATACAACAGAAAAACATTTCTATAGCTTTTTGTTTTTTTTTTTTTTTTTACTGACTCCTCAAACCAAAGTACCTGACAACACGTATTCACATATTTCCACGCACACTAATACAGCTTTTTATAATACAGTCTAACCAATGTGCCTGTCTTACAGCTAATATTTATTTACCCATTAACCTAATATCCCTGTGTTCATTGTGGGAGCAAACAAGAGTGCCCAGAGGAAAATCCCACATGGAGAACATGCTGAACAAACAGAAAGGTCTCTGGACCGTCTGATCAGCAGGCTAAGCGCTGCACCGACATGTCATCAAGTATCGCTTGATGGAGTTTTAATGTGAAATGAGTCATTTTGTCTCAGAAACACTAAACCTGCAAATTGCTTGAAATTGTAGTAATAAACAAGCTGATGTTGACTTTATCCTCAGTGAAACCTCTAATTTACCTTCATATCTGTGTGTGTGCCTACAGGCCAAATGACAGACCTGATCTACACAGAAAAGGAGCTGGTTCAGTCTCTGAGGGAGTACATCAAAGCAGAGGAGTCCAAGCTGGCCGCTGTAAAAAGGTACATTCTGAACTCTGAGATATCACCCCATATTAGTCCGTTGACTGTGTGTTACTTTTCCTTTAATCTGTTCTCACATTTATAGGGTAAGTTGATATGAAGTGTATTGTCTCTCTATAAAATGTGTAGTAGAATCACCCTGTATCCGTTTCTTAGCTGGGCCAATAAACTTGATGCCCTGACCCGAGTGTCCACCGCTGACCCAGAAGGCTACCTGGCTCACCCAGTGAATGCCTATAAACTGATGAAGAGACTCAACACTGAGTGGTCTGAACTGGAGAGCTTAGTACTTCAGAATCCCGCTGATGGTAAGGATATATCTCCAAAACAGTATTTTACTAAAGGAGCACTCGTGAAGTGCCCTGATTTGAACTCTGCTTGGAAAAATTAGGATGTTTTCTGTGTGGTCTGTGAGATCTTGCAGATCATCACGTGCATGCTACAATCAGACAAAGGGGAAATGTTTTTTAAATAGTGCCTACCTCTGTGTCTAGAGCAGTTCATTTGCCACTTTACTTATTGCATGTTGCAAAATATAGAGAAATACCTCAGTGTATGTTTTCTTGGCCAAATCTGTATGTTACCCTTTATTAATCCCAAATCAATAGCATTCTTTTAATGGCTTTTAAAGCAAAACCCAACAGGAAAAACTTTTCTAGTTTTTTGTAATTTTACTGACTAATCAAACCACTCTACCTGGCAACCCGTATTCACCTATTCTATGTATTGTCACCATGACACAATATATACAGTAATATATATCTCTCTCAGCATAACCAAAAGGCAAGCAGCACAGAGCAAATATAAGCTCCAGAATGGATGTGAGGAGAATGAATGCAGCTTTTGCTGGGGAGTGGAAATGTTTACTGTGCTGCTTTGTCCACATGCTGTGATCAAGAACAGAGCTTGTCATGTTTTAGCTGCAGCTGTTCTTCATATCTGCATATTTTGGCAATGAAGAGTGTGTGTGTCTTTGTCTCTGTGCACTTGGACCTGAAAGTGTGTACGTGTTTAGACACAGGACCATATCTGTGTAAGGCAGATAAACTTAGCATACGTGTACAGAATTCAGTAACTGTGCATTGCACGGTTGTGATGCTATTGTGTAGTACAGTCTGTGAAGAAACGCAAACACACAGAGACTGACTAAAAAGGCAAAGACACATTCCAGCTACACCTTTAGAGCTGGTACATCTAGATCAATATGATGTTGCTGTTCTGCATGTGTAAGTAAACGATTAAGTACCAACGAGTTAAAAATGACCCAAATTTGAATTATATGTGAGTGTCATGTGATACATGCAAATGAGATGTACAGAAAGACATTCTTACTTTCTGTCCAGGGTTCGTCTCCAACATGTCCGTACACAGACAATATTTCCCAGACGAGGAAGATGAGACGGGTGCAGCCAAGGCGTTGATGCGCCTGCAGGACACGTACCAACTGGATTCTGAAGCCTTCTCCAAAGGAAAGCTGCCAGGTAAGCAAGAAGTGTGTGTGTTGAATATAAAAAAGCATGAAAATATCACAAAGGGCAGAGTAACTTAAGCATGTCATGGAAAAGTAATTAATATTAAGTTAATAAATAACTTAATAATTATTAAGTTATTTATTAATAACTTAATAAATGGTGCACATTTAAAAAAAAAAAAGTGGTATGTCTTAAGTACATTTTGTTCAGTCATTTAGTCTTACTGAGTGGTTTCCATCAGGTGTGCACTCCAATGCTGTACTGACCGTGGATGACTGCTTCGACATGGGAAAGACTGCTTACAACGATGCAGACTATTACCATGCCGTGCTGTGGCTGCAGCAGGCCTTGAAACAGCTGGACGATGGCGAGGAAGCTGTGGTTTCCAAGGCAGACATTTTGGACTACCTCAGCTACTCTGTTTACCAAATGGGTGACCTCCCTCGAGCCATTGAACTGACGCGACGGCTTGTAGCTATTGGTAAGACACAACATAGGCAAATGAAGCGTTCTTCCTGCACACCAACGCTCATTACACACACACACACACACACACACACACACACACACACTCTATTTCCAGCCTGAGTCAGACAGAGATGTAGTCTTCCTTGTAAATATAAAAACTGGATGAATGGAGTTCATGGGACACATGTTTAGATCAAATGTTTTATGTAAATATGTTTAAAGATTTAAGTCTTTTTCATTTGTTTCTAATTACACCTTCTTCTACAACTCAATTTCTCTACTGTGCTGTAATTAATAGTTTGCTTTCTTCTGGTTTCACTAGTTACTACAGTTCACTCTCCTCTCTGACTGTTGTGGTGCTCTGTGCTCACCACAGTAGCTGGGTGTTGTCCATTGGAGAAAAAAAAAGTGGCCTGTGGGTTTAAATTGTTATTTTAGCCTCTGTATCACAGGCTCTGACAGCTATAGGTCACAGGCTACAGCTGCATTTTTAAGTTGTGGTATACTTGTTTACTTGTCAAGTGAAATGAATCGAGCTGTTGCAGAGGTGAAACAGTATGCCATCAAGTGCGGCAAAAATATCCTGCAAATAACACACCTCATACAGAAATACTCCAGTATGTGACTCGCCCGTAAAAGTGGGACGCAAATGTACAGCATGAAAACACATTTCTGGGACATTTTCCAGCACATACCTGGCTATTTATATACAAGACAGCACATCTGAAATGGAGGAGAGAAACATGATATTCTCACTGTCTCATAACCTGCAGTAATATTAATTCTATCAGGAGATCCTGAGGTTGTAGTCATTCTGGAAATTTCCTAACTAAATGTGTAATGCTGTAAGCGCACATGCTTACAGTCCTGTGTAAAACTACACCCAGCAAACTGCAAACACATTAACACCCTAGAAGAACCACAACAAAATCAACATGTAGGATAAACAATAACTAAAATACACTTAAAGTTTCTTTGTTTCTGTAAATGAGCTGACTTTGCTACTAAATTAATTAGGCTTCAATGAAGAGGCACTACCTGCAAATTCCACAAGAGGGTGCACTTTTTCCATTATTTAACTCAGTTACTTTAGTAACTGAACAACAAATAACAAGAAGAAGACACAAAGGAGAAGTTTTTTGATAATAGTAGGTTTTCTTAGTGTTGTATTCACTAAGAAAACCTTCAAGATTAAAAAAATTTGAAGTTTAAAAAAAACTCATAATTGTTCTGTTGCTGGCAAATGAGTAAATGCAGTTATATCACAAAGTCTTAACAAAATAAAATAGAAAACAGCCAGATTTCAGGGTTATTTATTTGTTTGTTTTCAGTGTCTACCTACTATGACTACTGTTTGAAATGTGTTATTAGCACACACGGGATACGGCTCCAAAGTGTTTCATATCATCACGTTCTTCTACCTCTGCTAATCACTTTTGTTGTATTGACAGATCCCAGCCACCAGAGGGCAGGAGGAAACCTCCGTTATTTTGAGCAGCTACTGATGAAGCAGCTCCGTGAGATGAACCAAGACTACCAGCCTCCATCTGAGGAGCCCATTCAGCTGGGAACCTACAGTAGACCCAAAGACCATCTCCCTGAGAGAGAGTCCTATGAGGCTCTGTGCAGAGGAGAGGGGATCCAAATGGCGAGTCATCCTGCAGACTCTATTTTGAGTCGCTATTTTGTGAAACCAAATCCTAAATTGAATATTTATGTGTTTTCATTGATTTTTATGGACATTCATTGTTAGGCTGTTTTTCTGATGCTATGTAAAATCAGCACTAGCCAAGCCAAAAACGTCAGCCCTGATTTAAGATGTATTTAATCCTGAAAAGCAATACATAAGAAACTAATTTGGACTCTGTTGCAGATTTTTCTATGTGCAAACTACAACCAAACTATAAAGGAGGATTAAAGTATAATTGTCTAAACATGGTGATTATTTGTGCACAATAAGAGCACAGAAACTTTTATAGACAACAACTGGAAGCCTATTGCATAATTAGATGTGTTTATTGTCAGCAGGCTGAATCAAAAGAAACTGGATTCCATTAGTGTTTTTACTAGTGTATGATTTAGTAACCCTTTTGGTACCTAAGCTACAACTCTTGCTTTAAACAACAAAATTAGGCCGCTCTCTGTATAAACAAACAGGAACACAGGAAAAACCACACGCACGGAGTACAGAGTCATTTACAACAGAGATAGTTCTGTAGTCTATTTAAGTTTAGACGCTTAAAATGATGAAGAGCTCAGTCAACCCTGCTACCAAGCTCAGATACCTGTGCTACTATGAGGCTGCATTATAAATGCATGGCATTGCACGTTGTTTCCATTAAAGTTAGTTATAAAATTGAAAAGAATGACAATTAAAAATTTTCTATGTTATTTTTACTAGACTGAAGCGAGGAGGAGCCGTCTGTTTTGTCGCTACCATGACGGGAAAAGAAACCCTCGTCTTCTGCTGAAGCCTGTTAAAGAAGAGGACGAGTGGGACAGCCCCCACATTGTGCGCTACCTGGATTCGTTGTCAGATGAGGAGGTGGAGAAGATCAAAGAACTGGCCAAACCCAGGGTAAGACAAGAAGCATTTAATAAAATGGAAACAGAATATTTTCTTGCTGACCACCATTAAAATATTTAATTACTTTAAGGGTTAATGAGACTAATGCACAGGAGGAAAGCTTTTGAACATTACCTTCTTACAGCTGCTGATCGAGTGCACGTTCTTTGTTTAAAAACTCATTCAGGCTAAGCTGTACAGAGCAGAACATGGACTTTAAAAAAAAAAAAAAACTTTTATTGCTCGGCATATAAATAAGAAATAGTTGTAAAGTATTTAAGATTAACAGTTAAGAGGGGATGAGAAGAGTGGTACCACAACGTAGAACTGGAATGGTTGGATTAACTCTTCTGTTTAATTTTTTATTTCTTTCTGTTCTTATGTTTTATTTATTTTTTTCAAGCTTGCAAGAGCCACTGTCCGTGATCCCAAAACAGGTGTCCTGACCACAGCCAACTACAGAGTCTCGAAAAGGTAACGCATCCAGGAAAAAAGGATCCTTTGGTTTTGTTTTGTTGTTTTTAGTTTCTTTAGTTATGACGGATTCCAGGAATACAGTAGCTTGTATCCTCCCGAGGCTGGGCTTGGGTCTCTTGCTGGTCTTGAACCAGCGATACTGCATGTGTCAAGTGAATGATGCTGATGGTCCAAACATATTTTAATAGGACAAAATCTTAATAGCTTCACTAAATGGACTGGTTCTTATATAGTGCTTTTCTACTCTACTCGTGTACTCAGAGTACTTTATACAACAAGGTCAGAATAAAACTGTATCATCATTTGTTGTATATCCTGTCTTGTTTCTCTAAATTGCGAATTGTTTTTAAGTGTGTGTGTGGGCCACATTTAATACTTGTTTGTTTATTCAGTGCGTGGTTAGAAGGAGAGGAGGACCCCGTCATTGACAGAGTCAATCAGAGAATAGAAGACATCACCGGTCTCACAGTAGAAACTGCAGAGTTATTGCAGGTAATGGAGTTTATTTCACACATTTGATATTTAGCCTAACCTGTGTAGCTAGTGAGTGTTGACTCAGTAAGTCAAAAATCCTACTCAGACACTTAAAAATACTGTTTTTACCCTTTAACTTCAATAGATGAATGATTGGTGCATTCACTTGACAGAATGTGTTTTTGTTTTATTTGTTTGTTTTGTTTATTTATTTTTTAAATTACAGCATTTCTCTTTTAACCAGATTTCAATAACCCAAAGTAGAGTTAATGATATATGAATAGCCTCTAAATAATTAAGTCTTCACTTCAGATGTGTCTGTGCACCATCACTTCTTTGGATCAATTTTTCCAGCTGAAACCGAGATTATCGAAACTACAACGAAATAGTCCAACAGGAGACTTCGGTTATGTCTTTTATATCTAACATCTCTGTCTCTTTGAGAGCTAGTTTTTACATTTACTCCAATTCTACACACACAGGAACATTTAGTTTCTGCAAGCCTTAAAGTGACTGCATGTAATATGTGGATGGGCGCGATTAGTTGTCCCCATGTGCAGAAAATTAATCACAGATGAAGTAATTTTATAATGAAATGTCACTTTCTTTCAAGAGGAACAGGTAAGCATGCCTATCCAGTTCAGATGTTCTTATCTCATCATATAGTTTTTCATATCAATGTGCAGTCCCATATGAAATCAGAGATAACTGTACTCCTAAAGGTTCCACTAAGACTGGTGACTTTGCCAAATCGAGGCGTTAACCCCAGATAATCACTTACAGCTTTGACCATGTTTACATTGTACATCTCGTTAGCTTCATAGCATAAGTGCCTAAGTCATTTTTTGGTCAAATTGAGATTTTTGCCTAACTTTACTCCCCTACCACTGCTGCATCATCCTGTCCGTCTGCCTATGTCATTGGCCAATCACAACACTCATAAGAGTCAAAAAACATACTTGCCTAAGTCATTCATTTGACTTAGGCAGTTT